AGAAATCGGACAGGGGAGAAGTCCAGGAAGGAATTCTGCTCTGTCTTCCTGGTTAGGGCCCCTCTCCCATCTCAGCCTCAAGCAGAATGAAGGCTTTATACTTAATGCTTGTTTGTCTTTCCACTGTGCTTACCGCCACCGATTTTTTTCCTGTAACATCAGAATAGTCTCTACTTGGAAGGTTAAACAAGCCTCCTTACAAGCTCTCAACTTGTCACGCAGCACAATGAATTCCAGAAGTTGAGAGGTTGTCATCTCTTCCTCAAATGCAGTCAAGCTCCCTGTACACGCTGTAGTATTGGGAATGCCATAATTATTAGCTGATAGACTTAAAAATCAGATCTGAAAGTCACCTGGGAGGTCACATGATGAGGACGACAAAGCTGACCTGGCAGGTGAGCTCACAGGTGGATGGGATTTATTTGGGCTGTATTTAGGTGCTTACAGTTAGACTCCTACATCTATTCCAGTTACCAGCGAGGCCTCTAGGGATGGTACATTCACAGCCTCTGATCTTCCCCAAAAGTGTAAGGGAACTGAACTGAACTCAGATGTCTAAATCTGAAATGCAGAAAGAAGAATCTGTTAGTTTCATTGCCTTAAAGACAAACAAGACAGCCAGAGAAGACCATCGGTGTAGACTGCAACGGCGATCCCACATTTTTACCTTCTCTATGCCTCATGCTTTTCCATGGAACTTTTTCACTCTCCCACTCTGTAACTCAGCTCACCCATTGGTTTGGCCAATGGGTACTAGCAAACATGACACAGAGGCTTCAGCTAGGACTGAGAGCGGCTCTCTCTGGCACCTTTGCTGTCACTGGGGTACGGGCCTTGCTTGGCCCACTGGAAGATGAGGTACAAGTACAGCATAACCGAGTTGCCTGAGTTGGCCCAAATGACACCAGGCTGGATCAGCCAATAGCTAGTCAACCCCAGCAATGCATCTGAGCCCATCCAAGATCGCCAGAACTACTTAGCCAAGCAATTATCCCCTACCTGATCTTTCAGTGAAATTTAGTAGTCATTACACAGCATTATTGCAGCATTGGATAAATGATGCACCACTTAGAGGGTCCATCGGCACTAAGGATCTAAGGAGAGTAAAGGAAAAGGTTCTAGCCAGTGCTGGGATAGATGGTACTGCCTGCTGAGAAAAGACCTAGAAAAACTGAAAAGTCAAACTGATTTGAGGTCTTGAAGCTGAACACAGACTTCAGAACATACTCGTGCCAAAAGTACAAAAGTCAAGTATGTTCTAAATCCAGTCTAGGAATATTCCCAGGTCTGTATGTAAGCTTGATTTAATTACAGACAAGTATTGATGAGAAACTATTAGAAAGTATTATATTATTCTATTTTGTTTCATATGTATATGTGTTTAATATTTATTGCTGTTTAGAGTTATGTCCTTTGATGAAAATTAAATTTTAAGTTTTTTACCCAACAATATAACTAAACAATTTGAGGCTAGGTCTCTCCATTACCTCGGACTGCTGGAAGCTTAGCATTTTAAAACATGAGGCTATTAATCATGCTGTTAATTATGAAAGAAGATCTTGATTCCAAGAAAAATACCAAGGAAACAAATAGCTTCTTAGGTGCTTGACAGCTTAAAAAACGATGATTAAGCTTCCTTCTAAGATCCGGAGCAGATTCATCCCAAGCAGAGGAACAGAATTTGCCCAAATGAGTTTGATCCTCATGAGATTCCAAAGGGGATTTTACCACACATGAAAAAAGAAAATGCAGAGGTTGCGTCCCACTTATAAAACATGTCAGGTGATATGGAGTGGCAGAAAGAGAAAGCCAACGAGACACATAAACATTTGGGAATCTCTGATTCCAAGCATAATAATCTCACAGTGGAGAAAACTGAATTTTGCTTGTGAAGGGCCCCTCCTGGGTGAGGGGGTCCAAACAGCGTCTGCAGAAAGGGCTGCCGGAGTGGGTGCCCCGCCACAGCAGATTTCAGATCTGTTTAGAAATGGTACATACTTTCTATCACAGCCAAGCACACACACAAGTACACAAGTGTGTCTATGTGTACATGCATGTCTCATTTTGAAAAACACAACACACAAAGTTCTTAAATTACAGCAGAAATGATCCACGCTGTTTTGTAACAGCTTGCTTGGTGGCTAAATTATCAAATGCTTTCTCAAAATAAATGCATACTTTAAATAGGAGATAAGCTTTTCTAAAGGTCAGCATCGCATCGCTGAACGTCCAGCTGCTTGACATACTTGTACGGTGTTATCACAGGAGCATTTCCTTAGCCACTGTGGCTCCTTAAATTCCCTCGGAGATGAAGACTGAACAGCACCAATGCACCTCCAGAGAGAATAACTCAGTCTCAGTGCTGTTCCTTTCCAAATCAGTAGCTGGTAGATAGAAGTCACTGCAGTATAACGAGCTAACGATGTCCTGTCACCAGCTCCCGTGCCGAGAAAGCCCACCAGGACCAGGGCCTGAATGCCTGAATGAGCTTGTGTCTGTGTCGTCTGTCTACAGAGGATCACAACTAGCGCAGCCGAGCTAACTGTGCCACAGTGACCCTGCTGAGGAGCGGTGTCAAAATTTATGCCGTGCATAGCCAACGCTTTTGTGCTTAAACAAGATGTGCCTTTCACTTTTACTCACATTGCTCCATGGTTTCATAATGGCAACAAGTTGTGATTTGCTAAAGAATGACTAGAATTCTTTTAGAGTATAAAATATGTCCATGTTATATTTTTTAATTTCCTTTTTTTTTTTTTTTGTAGTGCAGGGAATCAAACCCTGGGCCTTACAAATACAAGGCAAGTGTGCTACCACTGAGCTACGCTCCCGGCCCTCCATGTCTGTACAATGCACTGGTCCACATGAATCACCAGCTCTCTAGAAATCCAGACGCATGTTTCTATATTCTGGCTAACTTTGGAAATATCTATTTGGGGGAGCTTTTTTCTTCAAATTCCTGAAGAAGGAAGATGGCACGTGTTTACTGAGTATGTTTGTCCAGTGTTTACATGTCAAATGGGGATGTATCTTCTACATGTCTGTAATTTAAGGATTTACATGCTACTTTTCTAATACATTATAAAGTACTGGAAATACATCCTAAACAGGTCAGGACACCTGACTTCTTCTGTGGTATTTTAATCAAATTCTAACAGTTGGAACCTAACTTTACTGAGGACAAAATTGGTATCTATACTATTTACATAGCAACAGTATTTGTTTATTTGCTGAATGACAGAATTTTGTGATTTAAATTCATTTTTAAGTTACTTTTATTCTCTCACTTAGCAAAATATTCTAATGCAATGTAGCACTCACACATTCACATTGAGGAGACAATATGAAAATCCCCATACATTTCTCACTAGTTCTGTGTGACAAGTTCTGGCTCCCACAGAACACTCAAAGTCACTAATTTTGGAAACTAGCTAGCAGGAACATTGTAAAGTGGTACATATTGGCTTTGCCGGGGTACGCTTATTCTGTTACAGGATCATCACGCAGTATCACGTACTGCAGGTTTTCTAAAAAATTGTGTTTAAGTGAGTCATAGGGGGAGAAGTTCTGCTTTCTCTTTATCATTCCAAGAGTCTGGTGTCAAAGGAGGACAGACTTGCTTGTTTGTCTGCAATTCAATGCAGACCCAAGACTACAATGTCCAAATACCAGAACTGGTCTGGTGTCTTGCGAGATACGCCTGTTGGCTGTGTTTCTAAGGGTATAATATTTCCAACAAGACCTGTTTGGAACCGAAACAATCTCTAGTTCTCAGCAGATTCAACGAAGAACCATTTATTAAGCCCCTAAATCTGTTAGACTCTTTGTAGATCCTGTACAGAGAAACATAAAAGGGTAAGACTTAGACTTGATTTCAAGAAATTCTCACTGCTATTAAAGTAAGCGGATATCTTCCTGAACCTGTATCTCACGACTTTCTGCTGTTTGTTTATAAAACGTCTAGGAGAATCAGCAGACGCATATTTTTTCTTCTTCTGCTTCATGTTTTATAATACACAGCAATTTCAATCAAACTCCTTTTCACTGCCTTTAACACTTTTCACTGTCAAATAAAATTTTTCATTAAAAAATATTTCCATGGTGCTTTATATTTTATAGTTTGGAGACAAATCTAGTCACAGACCACACAGCTCAAAAAGCAGTTTTGAATTATTATTACGTTTAGCAAAAACTTTCCATTCTAAGACTTTAGGCTCCTTGCTTCTGCGCAGAAGCCATTCACCCCGCCCCTCACCCCGTCTTCTTCGTCTCTCGGTCTTCCTGCCACAGTTCCCTTGAAGCTCCTGTTCTTCCAAACTCGTTAGACTGAAAAGTTATTGTTCACTGCACTGCACAATCTTAGGAAACTTCTAGCTATTAGAACATCGACAGAACTAAATCCATATATCGGTCATTCTCCAAGTAGTTGACAGTACTGGAAATACAGCACACATTCACTATGATATTGTGCTATCATTGTCACCATAATTGTTAAGGTGATACAAAAGGCCCACGATTCTATTTGTTTGTTTGTTTGCTTTGTCTTTTTGAGATAGGGTCTCGCTATGCTGTTCAGACCGGCTTAAGCTCTCTTTGTAGCCCAGGCTGGTCTCGAACTCTCATGGATCCTCTTGCCTCAGCCTCCCGAGTGCTGGAATTACAGGCGTGTGCCACCACGCCCAGCCTAAGCCCACGATTCTAGAACAATTTCAAATAATAAATTTCCCAGATCAGCTCAAAAACAACTAAGTTTGGAAAATAAGGTGAATTCTAAATTGTTTATCACATAGGAAGAGTATATAAATATATCGCTGGAGACGGATCTAAGAAAAAACGCTCAACTTTAGTTATCCTTCCCTCTCTTCCTCCACCCAGGTTTGTGAGTCACAGAGGAGCAAACACGGAGATCCGCACAGCGCCGCAGAATACCGAGCACAGAGCTCCACCGCAAACAGGCCCTGCGCCCGCAGCGCCCGCAGCGCCCGCTGCGCCCTGCTTACCTGCTGCCCAGACAGCGGCGCAGCGAGTAGGAGGCGCCGCCCCCGCAGGTGCGCGAGCACTCGCTCCACGGGCCCCACGCGTCCCAGAGCCCTTCGCGGTCCTCCTCCGAGCGCGCCGTCCTGGAGCTCTGCAAGAGAGGACAGAGGTCAGCGCGCGTCCCAGCCGCACCCCCCGGGGAGTTGCGTGTCTGTCCACAGCGCTGGAAGTGAAGATGGAAACGATGTCTGGGCGGAGGGCGTCTGATCTTAGGGGCCTGGGCTCCAGCGGAACGGGACAAGGGAGGGCACCGATGCAACAGGTGGAAAAGGCAGAAATGGGGATCCGGGATGAGGAGGGTCCATGGCCTCGACAGCCTCCTAACGTTGGCCTGGTTCATGAAGTCTTTGCCTTTGTACAGGGAAGCTGCTCTCTCGGGTCTCCCGGCTCCTAGGAGCTTGACAGGTGCAGACCAGCACTGCACTCCAAAATCTCTCCATCTTTCATGTCACTGACATTTTCCTAGGGAGCAGCTTCACTCCCGGCATTCAGATACATTCACGGGAGCTACCGCAGGAAATGATGTTAGCAACGCGCGGATCACTTCCTGACCGACTTGCTTATTATTTACAGGCTTCCCAAGCATGTTTGCACACTGGAAGGGTCGTGGTTAGATACAGGTCTCAGTGTTGCACTTCGCGTGCCTCAGAGAGGAGAAAAAGACAACGTTTATGGTACGATTCATGAAACACTCTCTGGTGTTATGCCCTGAGACCGTAGTGTTGAGTGAAATAAATGCGATAACACAAGCTTAAATACTGCGTCGTTTCTCTTATGTGAGAAATCTCCGATGTAAATAGCAAAATAAGAGATAGATACTAGGAAATAGGAAGATAGATCTTTCTCATATGGGGAGGGGATCAAGACATGGGGAGAGCGGGAGGGGGATCAGAAGAGAACAAGAAAAGAATTCAGATGCGTTCCATCCCCCAAGGATGATATCGTTATGTACTGCAAACCTATGCTAATGGAATTTTGAAAAAAACTATCCGAATTAGATAAGGATTCTGTTTTTTCTTTACTATGTGTCCTTGAGCCAGGCAATGTACCACCCCATTCCTTAATGACCCTTTCTATAAAATGGGGTGATATCATAACCATGCCCCCGCACACTCGCGCCCTATGGAGGAGGATTAACCTAATGAATTTAGCGCAAGAGCAGTGTCAGTCAGAGCACAGCACTAATTTTCCCCTTTGCAGTAATGAGATCCCTTATAAATCAGCTGCTGTGGGACCCAGGTTTTCAACTGACTGTTCTTTGGAACTTTCTTTTCCTTTGGCAGTGCTGGGGATTGAACTCAGGGCTTTCACACTGAGCTGCATTCTCAGTCCTTTTATTTTTTATTTTGAGTCAGAGTCTCACTAAATTGCCAAGTTGCCCAGGTTAGGGCTTGAATTTGCAACCCCTTGCCTCAGCCTCCTAGATGATTGGAATTATAGGTGTCCACCACCGTGCCTGACTCCGTGGAACTTTTAAAACCTATACCGTTAAGTCAGAAACCTGCCCTCAGAGCATTATATACATTACTTTCTAACTAGTACATACTTTATTTAGATTTGTAAGTCATTTGAACGTGAGGTGGGATATCACAGTGTTTATTAGCAAGAACTTTGGGTCTACTCAAATGGTGGGGGGTATAACACTGGCTTCAGAGTTTCCTAGCTGTATAAACATGTAACCTGTTTGTTTTCTTTATCATGAAATAGGAATACTCAATATGCCTATATTATAAGTCACTGTGAGAAATTAAATGTGAATACATAAAAAAATAAGGTGGAAACAACCTAAATGTTCATGGGAAGATGAATTTATACATAAAGTGTAACATACATATACAGTGGAATGTTACTGTTCAACCTGGAAAAGGAAATTATGGCCCACATTACAACATGGATGAAATTTGAAGACATTTTGTTAAGTAAAATAAACCAGTCATGAAAGGATACTTAAAAACGGTATGTGTACCAACTCCCCATGATAACTGTAGTCATAATGTACTGCAAACATATACTAATATAAAAATAGAAAAAATAAATTGTTAAAATGGTAAATTTGTGTTATGTATGCTACAACAAACATACATATATACATTTTGAAAAGCACATCAGGCTAAGTGGTAAACACCATAGAAGCATGTGTTAGTGTTACAGTTAAATGTTATTTACTCCTAGTTAACATCATGTATGGCCTGTGTATGATTATAGAAAATGCACTAGTGAGGTACATGGTCTTTTCTGTTGCACTTGTTGAGTAACTGCAGTCTCAAAGTATCACGTCCTCGAGACCCTGACTTCATAGCAGGACCCTGCGGTTACCCGCTGCACTGCATCTGCCTGGTGATGTGATCTGTCTGTGGTTTCAGGGAGAGAGAAAAGGCCCTCGTACTATCGATGCACACATCCTCAAGTCTCTTCCTCATATGCCTTTTAAACGCATTCCCCATGTCTGCAAAAGGTGGTTGTCCATCTCCCGAGCCCTCCGTGATGAGGGTGCTGAGGGGCCAATGCAGTATTGTCCCAGTGAAGTCACCTTCTGTGTGACAAGTACGCATTTGTACGGTGCACTTCTCCCGCTTCTGTCAAACTCAGTATGACTGAGGTGAAAACTGTATCAGAATAGTAAGCTTCATGCAGTAGTTGAAGTGAGTGAGATGGAGATTACTGAGTCTGATGTTATATAATTATTAAAATTGAAAAAAAGAAGGATCCTACATGCAGCATTCACGGGAACTGCATTTCCTGTGAGATACCAAGACGCGGCACCAGAATGCCTCATCCTCAGGGTACTCGCCTCTGGTCGCTCTGTGTAAGACATTTAAAAAATGACATGTGGGTGTGTGATTTTTGTTTTTCTACAGAAACAAATTGTTTTAAACCCTGTACTAAAGTTGCTTGATATTTTTCACGTGGCTTGTCTGAAGAGGCACTAAAGCCCCTAAAGTGACATTTCATTGGCCAAACATTTTATCTCAGCACAAGGTACCGGTCTCAGTGCAATCAGACGTAGCAAGAACCCACATTTCTCTGAAAGCTATCTCACATTAGCTCAGAAACAAGGGAAAGGCTTATTTCTCAAAGTGGAACTAACTCCAAGTTTTCTTTTAGCAAGTGGAATAAACATAATTCATTTCAACTGAGTCCATGCTTAATGTTAGAGAAAGTGATTTTCCTTCTCTTTAACTATGCCAAATTTTTATGTCTACAAACAGAAATGACATTTTAGCATGCTTTTCACATTATTTAAAAATCTAGAAGTATTTGTTTATTGCAGTCTTTAAGGCACTCTTCAACATAAACAACGTTTGTGTCTGGCCCTGGTAGAACTCATGTTTATTTCCTTCTTATTTTTAAATGTGTGGTCCTTTTGACGTTATAGTAGCATTTTTAAAAATTATAAACTTGGAATGGTATCTGTTATGGAAAATGGAGCCTTAAAGAAAAAGAAGGACTAGATAATGCATGCCTGAAAGCAATATTGATTGCTTTGAAACAAAAAATCTAAGCCTTTCTTTACAGCTAATCTGGTATTTTAAAATTTGATGTCTACCACATAAATGTAATATTTTAATTTTAATGTTTCCAAATGAAAGTCATGGTTGCTATTAAACATAGTGATCAGGAAATTATATCTGATCCCACAGATAAAAATTTCAGTAGTAGTGTCAGGGGAGATTATAATTTTTAACTATTGCTATAAATGATCCAGAACTAAGGAACGACCATTACATTCTTACGTATGCCAATTTTTCACTGAGAGAAGGTTATCATAAAAAGCCAGAATTCATCTGATATTGAACTTGAGGGGAGAAGTCATTATAAAGCACTTTCTTACTATAGTGTTTCTTTCACTTTATCCATATGGGATGGGTAAGGATGGACACTCGGCACTTATTTTGAGCTAGCACTCGAGAAATCCAGCAAAGGAGAGAAGGAAGGCCTGAAGCTTGGTTGCACATCCCCATGAAAACTGAGGCTGTCCCTTGCGTTATTCAGTTCACAAAAACCGTCTCACCATTTCTGGATCCTTGGTGCCACATGTGGACTTTTAAATGCAGCATTTGATGAAAAGACTTATATCAACTGTGTTCTTGTTGGAAAACTCAGCGATCAGTGCCCCAGTGCTAACGACTCTGTTCCAGGACAGTCAAGAGGCTCTAGCCCTCAGTAAAGGCCGATTTCACAGAATGTAAATTGTGGCTACAGACCATGACATCCCTTCTGTAAATATCAGAAGAGCTTCCCGTATCCATCAGCCTCAGAGGGGTGTCATTTCCTCACCATTATTGAATTATCTAAGCAAGGCTTCCATCTCATGGTATTGTGCTTGCTTCTAGAACCAACTGCACCAGCAAAGTGTCGTCAGGTGAACAGCTCCGTGACTGGCCGCAACCTGTAGTTCGGTGTTCTGAGCAATTACATGAAGTACCACTTCCCTGTATTTCACTGTTCAATACACACCTAACCTTGGAACGACCTCCTATGTACCGCTTAGTCTAGAAACTGGAACAGGTTACCAAAGACTTCTACTATTGGAGGATGAAGCACAAATTAGTAATAAAAGTCTCTAGAATTATATTTTCTCAGAGCCACACATATATACAGAATACTTGCAAAATATTTTTTTCCAAATGTTGTAACAAGAGATCAAATGATCAAGATGTAAATGAAAGTGAAAGTAAGTGCTGAGGAAACGGCTGATAGGTGTCTGTAATATTGAAGTCATAAGGGCTAAAACTATATTATAAGCAAAGTGCTTTTAAGACGTCAGCATCTTCAGAAGTAACAAAACGGGTTATTTAGCGAAGCCAAGAGTAGTGCTTATAACTGTAAGATCAGCAAGGGGGTACCTGAGCCTCTGCTTTTCCTTTCCTCCCCCACAACATTTTACTTAAACCATCTGCAGCTGTGTATGTGAGTGTGCAAAATGAGTTTCCCACACCTCCATATTTAAAAAGAGGGGCAACCCCTCCAGTGATGAGAGAACCGTTTCTCCTATGGTGTGCCCACGCAAAGTGGAGAAATCTCTACAAAGATATATCCTGTCTGTGCAGGTATGAAGCACGGGAAACAAATCTGCAGATTCCATTTTTA